TAAACAAGTAGTTAGTTTTATTTTAATGGGTCTTTTATCGTTGCTCTTTCAAAGTGCCTCTTTGCAGCAAGACCTTCCCGAGTCGCGTATCACCGATCACGCCATCATACACACGACCTATGGCGATATTCATATTAAATTGCATCCGCACGAGTGTCCCAAAGCCGTCGAGAACTTTTGTACGCATGCGAGACGGGGCTATTATAACGGGCACACGTTCCATCGTGTTATTAAAGGCTTCATGATACAGGTTGGTTGGATTCGGTTGTTGTGGGTGGAATTATTTTCGATTTATTATGATTGCAGACAGGCGACCCGACCGGGAAGGGAACTGGTGGGCAGTCGATATGGGGCGACGATTTCGAGGATGAATTCCATCCAAGACTGAAACACGACAAACCGTTCATGGTGTCGATGGCTAACGCCGGTCCGAACACGAACGGCTCACAGTTCTTCATCACGGTCATACCGGCCGATTGGTTGGACGGAAAAAACACTCTTTTTGGACAGGTGAGGAGATTGGTCTGATTGTAATTGTGGTTGGATGTGAAATGGTTGTGTATTTTGCGTATTGTAATTATTTGTGTTTGATGAGTTTAGGTGACGGAGGGTTTCAACGTGGTTCAAAAGATAAGTCAAGTGAGCACTTACGAGAAGAGTGGACGACCCAAGGAGGAAATCAGTATCATTTCAATAACGCTGAAGTAGAATATCGTATTGTTTGAACATCATATTGATGTATTGTGTAATATTGAATTCGTTGTTGTGATCTCTTTGTTTTGTACATTTGTGATTTGAATGTTTTGACATTGTCATATTTGTAATTGGTTGATTGTTGAATAAAATATCTGGAACGAGAAGAGGTCTTATCAATTGAGTGGTAAAACTCTCATTTGCATGGTTAAGGTTATGAAATCCTTCATTTTATATTACACTGATTTTGAGGGATACTTTTTGTGGTGATTATGATTCGGTATTGTTTGATGATTGCTTTTTGTAGGGTCATTTCTGGTGTGGTTACCTTTGAAAGGGGTAGAATTATGATAGTGATTGCTAAGAGGACGTTCCCCCTCCCGAAAAAAGACTTGGCTACGCCAGTTACCCAAAATTTTCATTCATGAATAAATTAGAAGTATTGAGCGAAGTGATAATATAGAATGGGTGCTCTTTTGATAGGAGTTATGTGTGTGTGCGATGGGATGGAACGAGTGGTTTATTTACATTTTATATTGTTTCACTTTTTTGTGTCTTATTCGCATTTCTTTTGGGTTGTCG